CAATGTGACGGTCGTGGTGGGATCTACCTCCTCTTTCTATAATCTGCCTCCTCCTTGGACACTCTCAGTCTTTCCCACGCATCTCTCCATGGGTCCTCCATCCGAACCCATTCCTAGGCTGGCGGTAACTGCTCTTTCCCCTTTTTTTATATCTGCTGTCCCAGCCTCTATCTCCACCCTCTTCTTCCGTTCCATTCCCGCCGTTTTCCCCTGAACCCTCTCAAAGGTTAATTTTTGTATTCCTCCTCCTATCTTTTTCTGTCCTTTGCTGCTCTGTCCTTATGGAAGGTGAGACAGGTTGGGTCTGCACTTCCTTCTCTGCTGTACGGAGGAGGGATGGCACTCCAGTGAGTGGGCTATCCTTCTCGCCTCCTGTCTCACACTCTTCTCCTAATTTTTCAAGTTCTACTCCAAGGTAGAGCAAGGTGGCAGCCTCTGATGGCAGGTGCTAGGAAAATGTCAATAGGGTGTCAGGCGCACAATGTTGGCTGCCTTCTTTTCCCTGAGCTAGCTTGCTGACCCTAGATGCAATAGTAGATGTTCCACTGCCAATGGCAAAGCAAGATTCACCTGGTCACCTTCTCTCCATGTAATCAGAGCTGGGAAGTAATGTGTTAGACACCAGTACCATTTGTAACGTGTTACTTGTGGAAACAATAGAGGAGAAATGGCATATTTACAAAATAATCTAATAGCTAGCAACAACATTACTTTTTCAATACAACGAGTAAAATATAGTTGTCATTCTTAAAACATTGCTTTTGGGCAGTCATTTTGAGCCCATGTTTGTATTTTTAAGTTTGTTTGTTTCTTTACACATAGGGATAAGGTATCAAGTAATATACTGTATCAGATATTGAAGCAAAACAGCATTGATAGGTGTTTCCCCTAACAGTTCAGTGCTATGCCACTTAGGTAGTACTGTAAGCCAATAAAGTGGTATGTCAGGTACCAATGAATTTTAAAAATCCAGCTTCCTGCTGCTCTCCACAGAGGGGGTGACAGGAGGTGTCACTTCCCCCCCCTTTACATGTCAGTGCTGTGTGTCACCTGAAATGATACAATATAGTATCTCACTTACCAATAAAAGAAAAAAATCTGGATTTCCCTGTTCCCTGCTGTATGGGTGACAGGAGAGGATGCAGAAGACAATCTCTCTCCCCCCCTTGTTCTTTACAATCCATTGGTGTGTCACTTGGGTGGCAAGTGAATAACGTGATATACCACTTAACAGTAAATGAAAAAATAATCCACTTTCCCCTGCTCCCCATGGAATGAGGACAGAAACTGAGGTAGAGGGATTGTTTTTCCTTTTCTTTATAATCTAGTGAAGTATCACTGTGATGGCAAGCCAAGGAAGGGATATATCACTTGTCAATAATATTTTTTAAAAATCCAACTTTCTCCTGCTACCCACAGAGGATGGCACAGAAGAAGGTGTGGGGGCATGGAGGCTCAGAAGGCAGAGCAAGCTAAAAAGGGTCACTTTGAGGTGCAGTGTAGTTTCTTGTCGCAAAACCACCCAATCCTTGCATATGGATGAAAGGACTCTTCTGAATATCAGGTTGTATTTTCAAGTGACCCTGTTTAGCCTGATCCAGCCTGGGATAACTTTACTGTCCAGTCACACCCTTACTTTCTTGGCGGGGGGTGGGGTGGAGTGCTGGAGGAACAAATATGGCATGTATTGGGGTTTGTGTGGCCTACAGAGTTCAGTCAACAAAATCTGAAACCTGGTTTCTGAACTGGCATAAACTTTGACCTAAAAGCTTTTAATTGTAAGCCGAGCCATAGATGCTTCAGAAAACCTAACTCAACGGCACTAATTATAACTCAGGTCATTTATCACAGGCATGAGTGAGCTGTCTAAGAAGGGAATAGGAAAGGCTTCAAAAGTTTGGCAGAGAAAAAATTGCTTGGAAGAGGTGCAAATAACTCACTGTGGGAGATCTAACTGCAAAAGGTATAGATGAAAGAAAAGCCCAGTTAAATAAGATCTAGAAAGTGACCTGTAGCACACCTAGATTAGCACCTTTGACAACTGTTTCATCTAATTTGAGTTAGTTCCATGCTCCAGCAAGGTCACAAATATGAATACAGTTGTAGTTTTTGAAGTTGTAGCTGTGTTAGTCTATGCAAATATTTCAACAAGAATGTTTTAGTCCCTGTGTTTTAACTCATTAACAAAGTGGACATATTCCATGAAAGTTTACATTGAAATACAGCAGTTAGTCTTTAAGATACCACAACTCTTTTTTTTGCTTTAGTTTTGTTCTGTGTTTCTTGTTGAAATATGAATATGGTATCGATTGAGTTTTGTCCTCTTATACACCAGTAACCCCCATCTCAGAAACCCCAACTGTATGGAAAATATAAGCTCTCAGTCTCAAGCAATTGGAGACTGAAACTAAAGCCTAATCTCATGCATGTTTACTCACAAATAAAACCAAAGTAAGTGCTCATATGCTGCTGTCAAGATTCATGACATATGAGCTGCAGGACCAAGTAGAATCCTAAATTGATACTGTTTTCTGATTGCTGTTAAACTATATCTTGTTTTGAATTTGGGTTAAATTCTTTTTGCTACACATCAAATGTGCAGGGCTTCACAGAATTTCAAGTCCCCAGATTAGTCCAGTCTTTTCTTCTATTAAAGGGTACTTTCAGAGTTTATACGGTAACTCTGTCTGAGATATTAGTATGGAAAAGAATAAAAGGTTTCATTACAGTTAAACAGATCAAACAACAAAGACAGCAGACTCACTAGCTCCTTCCAGTAGACAAAAGAGAGAGAGAGGAAATGACTGAGCAGAGAGGTAAGGCTTTTTTGAATTCAGAGATTGGGGGGGGGAATGATGATTGGTTGGTGCTGCACAGCTTGACAGTCATCCCAGCCCAGAAAGGTGCCTCCCAGTCTCTTCAGGCAGCATGCAAAGTTGTAAAAACTCCGGCATATTTTCCTCATATTTTCCTTCATACCTGAAGGACCACCTCCTTCCATATGAGCCTACCCGGCAGTTAAGATCTAGCCAGGGGGCTCTTTTGAGAGAGCCGTCCCTCAAGGAGGTAAGAGGGATGGCTTGTAGACAAAGGGCCTTCTCAGTAGCTGCCCCCAGACTATGGAATGCCCTCCCGACTGAGATTCGTCTGGCGCCGACACTGATGGCATTTCGGCGCCAGGTCAAAACCTTCCTGTTCCAGAAGGCTTTTAATTGAAATATTAGCTGTGGGTCCGATGGCAATTTTTATAAAGATTTTAATTGTATCTTAATTGTTCTAAATTGTATTGTATTTTAATTGTTATAAGCCGCCCAGAGACCTTTGGGTAGTGTGGGCGGCAAATAAATAAATAAATAAATAAATAAATAAATAAATAAATAAATAAATAAATAAATAAATAAATAAATAAATAAATAAATAAATAAATAAATATTACTCCTTCAATGACATCTAGTAAAATAAATTTGTGAAGTGACATAATCACATTCAAAAGTTTCGCCACCTCTGCTCTAAGTTGTTTTTTTGCTACAGGCAGGGACAAGGATGCAGTGCTTAATAGACAATGACACCAGATCACACATTTGTTGTACTGTAGACCAGCCTTCCCCTGCTAGGTGAGGGTGTTGAGATGGCATTTCAACACATCTGGAGAGAACCCTACTGAGAAAGATGGAAGTAGTTGAAGACCTGCCCCAGCTAGCATGGTAGAGGCTGGTTAGACCGCCATTCAGCCTATACAATATCTATTTAATCCCTGAGTCAAATTTGTTGCGTATCTATTATTTCTCCCAACTGGGGTCTGAGATTTACCACAGGATGGAACTGTGAGGTAGAAGCAGCAAGGAAGGCAGTAGTTCAGCACCCCACTGTTAATGTTTCTACAGCCCTGTGTTCTACATTATCTTAGGGTATGTTTCCACTCTGTAGTAACACATAACTCTACCTTAATATGTAATAATGTTGAGATAATGTACAGGTTTTTTTTCCCCTCAGGGTAGAAACAAATAAGAAGGCTGCTTTGTTATTAAAATCTGGTAGAAATTAATGTCCCCCAGAGACACAGGTTGTCAAATTTCCAGGTCTCTGCAATCAATTTTGGAATTAATCCCAGGTTCCTAATCACCCTGCTTGACCATATCACCAAAGAGAAGCAAAACTGCAGATATGCAACTTAGGAAGCTGCAAAACCTCCTTGTAGGGAAAACAAACATCCTTGAGCAAGTTGGCAAAATTAAAAGGGGAAAAAGTGGGGTGGGGAATAAAAACCTAAGGACAAAATATTTGGACATTTTGAAAACTAACATTAGTTTCAGTGTGAGCTTCTGTGGCTCATGTTCTAGTTCTTCAAACACAACATTTAACAATTTAAAGGGAGCAGAGCTTCTAGTTGCAATGCTGCCATCTCAACTGTTTCTGTCCTCAGAAGAATCTCAATAAAAACAAGAAGATGCTGAGCTTGCTAGATGTTTTCTCACAGGAAGGGAAAGACATGTATATTAGAAGGAGGAAGATTAATCCTCAATGTCTGAAGAAGTCATTTCCCCTCACAACTTCTTTCTTTCTTTGGCTGGAGTACTAGCAGTGTTAACACAGAGTGTGCATAAAGCGTCATAGCTAATTATGCTCAATTGACAAAGTTATGAGGGTTCCTTTTGGTCATGTAATCAAGCTAATGACTAGAAATGTGGCGGATGAGACCTTTATTGAAACCTTGTTACAATTCCTTTACTGAATTTTTCAGGGTGTCAAGACAGCATTGTTCAGCGTTTCTGGATTTCCCCACTACTCTTTCCATTTCATTTCTTATTGCCGAAAATTAATCAGGAAGAAAAAAACAAAAATACCTGAACAGTGCATTCCAACTGATAGCAACAGAACCCTTTCTTCAGAAGCACACTGAACCAGCACAGCAGTCCTTAGGTTTAAGATAGTTTGTGTCTGCTTTTCGCTTCCCAAAATGAATGGGAGGCCCTTTTCATTTCTTTCTTCGTTCTTTTTAGAAACCGCTGTCTGATGGGACCGAGTCATCCATATGCAGCACAATTGATTACAAACCCCCAGACCCTGCGGAGGAAGCAGCAGTACGTGAGGACGCCGCAGCGGAGGAAGGGCCAGAGGAATGCTTCACTGAAGGTAAGTGAGCCGGGAAGCAAGCCCAGGTCAGAGACTGTGCAAGAACGTCCTAAGCAGTGTCTAGCCTCTCCATATACTGTGCTCCAGGACATGTGAATAAAAGAACGATCAGAGCACATGCACAAAGCTTTGAAGACCCAAGCAATATACCCTGGGTCACAGTCCCAATTCATTTTACAAAGATACCATATTAAAACGTTTGTTGAAAGGAGGATAAGTACTGTAAATGGCAATGGCTTCATTGGTTACAGCATAAAATAGCACTGATGCAGCATAAGGTACTGGACTCGTGCATTAGACAATCTGTTTGTTTACTGTTATATCTACCACGTGCTTCTACTGGGTATTCCATGGAATGGCAATGAATAGGACCCGCCATAGGGTTGGCAAGCCAATAAATACTTCCGTGGTGGACCCGGTGAAGACTTTTCCAACCAGGTTTTCATCCAAGGAACCTCACCTTCCCACCAGCCCAGGCTTCCACTGACTGGTTAGCCAAAAGATGGCCCTGGCAATGCTGACAGGGCTGCAGTGGATACCAAGAGCCAGTCAGCTAGCCAGGCATGTGGAGAAAACATCAAAGACTCCTCTGCTACCCCACTGGAAACTGTGACCCCACTGAGTTAGAGAGATAGTTTGGGCTTCCCTCTCACCAGCAAAGTTCAGCCATAGAATTTCTTTAATACTCAGCCTTAGAGCGAGTGAAAGTGTAAACAGAAAAATGTCTGGTTTCCATGCCCATCTAGAACTGGGCAGGGATTTCCAGTGAGCTGGCATAGATCGCAAAGAAGCTCTAGACCAACTATGGGTTTAGTATAAGCCTCTCTTTATTTTTAACACCATTGCAGATTGTGTTCGGAGGTGTCCTTGTCTGTACGTTGATGTCAACACTGAAAAGGGGGAGAAGTGGTGGAATCTTCGGAAGACATGTTTCAAGATTGTGGAACACAACTGGTTTGAGTCCTTCATCATCTTCATGATCCTTCTCAGCAGTGGAGCGCTGGTGAGTGCTACTTCTCCATGATCACCTTTCAGTCAGGTGTTTGGAGAGAATGAAAGAATATTGAAATTCAGCAGAAGTGGAGAAGGCTAAGAGGGACAACCTGCAAGCTGGTCTTGCAAGGTTCTGCGTCTCTTGTCTGTGTCCCCTCTTTTTGTTCTATGAGTGCATCTCATTTATGCAAGGTTGGTGCAGGTCTATTGGTGCAGATCTATTGCTATATAGATACTATATCAAGACTGAAGGATGCCTACATTACCTGTAATTACTTATAGTTGTTGGTGGCAATTAAGAATATTAACTAAAGTGCTCATGGAAACCTGGGTTTTTGAATGCAAAGAAGATGTTTTAAGAAGATGTTCTAGCACCACTGCTCAGTTTGGACTTCTGCAGAAAATTGTTGGGAATAGATTCAGCTCAGAATATAATATACCGGTAGTCCAAGCAATGCACATCTGGTATTAAACTGAACTGGTTGCCTGTCAGAGCAAGGGCTATAGAGCTTTACCATAGAGATGAAAGGGTAGGATATTTCTATCATGACGGTTAATGGCAGCATTTAACCTGCAGTTTAATACCATAAATTCAGCTAATTTATGACACATTGTAATCTCCCACCCCCCTTGTCTCTGTTGCTTGAGTGGAATTTTTAAATGTCTGGATAGCACCTTAGTGTTCTGTACATAGCAATTTATGTCTCCCAATGATTGAAATCCTGTTGCTTAGCATAAGCCAAACTTAATTTTCCATCCATAAACAAAGTGGCCAGTCTGCATGCACCAACCCTACATGTACCCCTCTGGAGAAACATAGCAGGGATGGTTTGTTTACCAAGGAAGAATGGACCAAACGTGATTCAAGGGATGGGGTCAGAGAGACATAGGGCAGTGTATGAATAATGGGGAATCTTTAATATAGGGCAAAGAATGAGGAGAAATTTTGGGTGACGGGCAGCTCTCTTGTTTAAGAAGTTTGGGTGGGACAGTCTCCATTTTGAAACTTGTTTTAAACAAAATTTTGTTGCCAAAATTCATTGCCAAATTTAGGAAACCTATTTAAAGTAAGCAAGAAGACCTATTTAAAGTCATGTCTGTTTGAAACAAGTTGGTAGTGGTTTGCCTCCCAAGTTTCCCCAGTTACTATAATATTTTAGAAGCAGGGAACTGGTCTCCAAATCACCTGAAATTTCCCCTCCCTGTTCAAACACTTGGGATATGGCTCAGACTCACCTGTATTTCTGGAAGGAAATCTACTAGGCTCAAAGATTAGAAATTTGAAAAATGAAAGAAATAATACTCCAGGTGCTGGATTCCACACAACCTTCCCTGTATGCTTTCAACCTTCTCTTGGGCTGTGATTACACTGGGGGAAAATATGAAAAATACTATGGGGTGGCAATGGGCTGATTCACATTTTTATAATGTTGATCACATGATGGAAAGGTAAATGTGAATCAGCCTGGAGTCTTCCCCCCAAAAAAAAATTATGTGGGGGGGGCAGCTCAGGCTTCTCCTTTTGAAACCCAGATTCTTTTGTATTGATGCTGGCATGTGGTTGCTTAAACCAATGCAGAAGGCGAGGATGGGCAGAGCACATACATGCACACACAACGTGATGCTTTTTGTAAAGCACCTCCCCATTGCTTTGCAAAGGAGGAAGAGCTGCATACACATACATATTCAAAACTTTTCTTCCTTCTTTTCTTTTCAGCAACTTCTCCTTCTCAAGAAAGATTCCTGTTTTGTTTTGTTTAAACAGCTTAAGAACATAGAGCAAGGCTTTTATCTGGATGATGAGATTTTTTTTAAGATAAGGAGAAACCAGATTGAGGAAGGAAAAGCTTTAACACTTTATTAATGCAGTTCTTTGTAACTGTGCCACCTGCAGGGCTATAGATAGAACTTCAAGCAAGGACCTAACAAGATTTTTCCTCTTCTCTCGCTGCATGGCCACTTGAATCAAACTGATCTGAATTCCCTTGTGTGACTTCAAAGCAAGTGAATGCAAGTGAATTTGTATTTCCCTCCCTGTACAGTCACATAATATCTGTTCAGGATCACAGTTGTCAGTGGCAGCTGGCCTGGTGAAACTCTGAACTGACAATGACAACAATACTTAGGTCGTGACTACTGTGGCTTGATTTGCAGCCTATTTTATGTTTCTGTTCTCTTTAAGCGATCACAGAGAGGCTGCGGATTTCGATGACAGTGTCCACACTGGCCCCTCAGTCTGATGCAGAGTGATCCAGCCCACAGCCCCTCTTCCTTTGATCCTGTGCTGTGTCAGTTTCTGGCTGTGTTGCATGGCACTAGCAAAAAGGGACAGTTTTCCAAAGTTCTCCATAATATGCAAACACACACACACACACACACACACACAAACTGCAGAAACGTAGTAGTCGTCTGTAGCTCATGAGAGTAGTTTTTATTTCATATCAAATGTAATTTTTTTATTTTGTCCATGTAGAGGTGATCTAGCACTAAACTCCAGTTTATTTTTTAAAAAAATACTTTGAGGTGACTAGGGAGAAAGATTGTGGAAGGGGGGTGTTCTCACTGTCCAAAGCATCACACCCAGCTTAGTATAGCACTAGAATACTACCTACAGCCATGCCCACTGTACTTTTCGAGAACAAAACAACTGATCACAGGGGGCAAAATCTGTTTGAATTGTTCTGGTAGAAGTCCCCAGCAGCAGCAGCAGCACAGAGAGAGAGAGAGGGAGAGAGAGAGAGAGAGAGAAATCTGAGTTGGGAGTAAAAAGGGCTGGACTTATTCAAATTGGCCTTTGCATTATGTGATCTTTTTAAAAAAAGTGAATTCATCCATCTTACACTGCCAGCAAATATTTCACTGTGTAGTAGTAGTAGTAGTAGTTGTTGTTTAGTAATTTAGTCGTGTCCGACTCTTCCTGACCCCACGGACCAGAGCACGCCAGACCCTCCTGTCTTCCACTGCCTCCCGGTGTTGGGTCAAATTCATGTTGGTGGCTTCGATGACACTGTCCAACCATCTCATCCTCTGTCGTCCCCTTCTCCTCTTGCCTTCACACTTTCCCAACATCAAGGTCTTTTCCAGGGAGTCTTCTCTTCTCATGAGATAGCCAAAGTATTAGAGCCTCAACTTCAGGATCTGTCCTTCCAGTGAGGACTCAAGGTTGATATCCTTTAGAATGGATAGCTTTGTTCTCCTTGCAGTCCAGGGGACTCTCAAGAGCCTCCTCCAACACCACAATTCAAAAGCATCAATTCTTCAGCGGTCAGCTTTCTTTATGGTCCAGCTCTCACTTCCATACATCACTACAGGAAAAACCATAGCTTTGACTTTTGTT